GGCGGGGGGGGGGCCAAAAGCCGGTGGTGGGCTGCTTGCTCGGGGGCAGACACACACACACACACACACACACCCCCACCCCCTTGGAAAAATCCGAGTTTCATCGCAAGGCAGCGGGCGGGAAAAGTTCTGGCGGGGCTGGGCTTCTTCAATGGAGACAGAGGTGAGGGGGTGCAGGGGGTCGTGGTCGTCGTCCCCCTTCCCCGACCCCCGGAGCGCGGGTTGCGGCAGCTCCCGGCTGCCTTTTGCCGGCCCGGGGCGGGCAGCGCTCCCGGGAGCCGCGGGTTTGGCAAGGCACCCCCGAGGGGGGCGGCCGGGGGGCACCTGGGTGAGGGGGGCGGCCCACGCCGGGGGCCCACACCCGCGTGGAGGTCGTGAACTAACCCCGACAAAGAGCGCGGGCAATGGACCGGCGGGGTCCGGAGCCTTTTGGGCCGAAGGGGAATGGTGGGAGAAGGCAAGCGAGCCCACCGGGGGGGGGTTTGTGGCCGGGATGAGCGTTGTTGCCTTACGGTGGGTGTTAGAAAAGCTTCACCGATAACCCATTTAGGGAGCCTGCTGATGCGAGGAGAGCCGTGTCGCTGCGAGGTTAGGGGGTACAGCAAATCTTAGCCGCGGAGCACAAGCCCCAAAGTTATTACCGCGAGCGCCAGGACATCTTTTGTCCGGCTGCTCTGTGCCAGAACAGCAACATCCCATGACTCAAATAGCGCATGAAAAAGTTGAGATGCTGGTAGGGAGAATAATCTCACCCAACAAGAACGTATGAAAGAGGAAGTGCAACTTTCTCCCATTTCGCATGACATTTTAAAAAACACATCGGAGGGGAAGGTGTGGGAAAGAATTGAAAAAGAAAAAAAATTAAAGATTTAAAGTATTTTTAAAAAATAAACAAAGGAGAGAGACAACCTAAGAAACTAATGCAGCTACACCTGCACTTAGTGGAGCTCACTGCCAGTGTGGTGGACACAGGAGCTGAATGCACATATAGGGCAAAAGGGAGGTTTCTCTGCAGGCGAGAGCATTTCTCCCTTTTTCCAACAGCAGCTTGGCATTAAAGATATTCCAGGGCAACATGGTGGGTTAACACCGTCCCCATGCTACCACAGCTGCAACGTCCTCCAAGTAAGAGGAGGAGCATCTCTAGATCTGTCCAACTTTGACTGTGACATCACTGATTAAAGTAAGAAATCAAGACCTGCTTTGTGTACATTAGAGAATCCATTCTGGCTGACTATCTGAGTGTTGGTTTCAACAAATGCCTACCATGGGAAATTCCCTAAAGAGTCCCATAAAGATCAGTCAGTTGTTGTTCTCCATTTAATTCAAATTACTTGCTATATCCATAGTCTCTAGCTTGAGCGGGGAACAATAAAAAAAAACAGCCACAGGATTAACAACGATTAAGAACTACATTAAGGTGAGCTTGTCAAGACAGACCTCTACAAGCCTGGCATAAAAGTGATGGCTCCTGCACAGTATAAAAACACAACAGAAATACAACACAAGACCACATGCAAAAACCACCAAAAGACACTGTGAGAGACAGAATGAAGCAGAGCTGACTCCTTGGAGTGTTTAGCTACGCATACTTGGGAGATTTGCTTTAGGGCTGATTGCGGACTTAGTAAAATAAGTGTTAGAGCAGAAATGTTCTACACTGGGCATCCACTTAAACTTTTGAAGCCTTATCTATGAAACCATTTCAAAGGACACAGAAAAGGAAAAGAAAGTGTTTTCTTCATATAAAAGTAACACAATTCAGACTGACTCTTCCCTAAACTTGCCCCATCTCATTCTCTGGAGATGGGGCTTCAGGTAGAGGTAGATTTTGTGTCAGGAGTGTCCTCTGCTTTCTCCATGGGAAGCCAAATATATTTGGGAAGACTGTAATTATCTTGGGGGCAGGTGGGAATTAGAGACCCTCCTCCACAGCAAAAGAGCCCCAAGTTGTGCCCAGGCAGCTGGCAGGAGTAAAGCTGGGCAGAAGCGATGCTGTGGCTGGGAGGTGAGGGATGAATCCTGACGCTTGGCTGGACAAAGGGGCAGGAGCTGTGGGGAAAGGGCAGAAAGCCGAGAAGAGAGAGGGGATGTCGTAAAGCTCAGCTGATGGGGAAAAGCCAGGTGAGAAATGGCTGCTGGGGGATTGAGCTTAGGCTAGGGCTTGGAGAGAGGAGGGTCAGGCAGGGCAGGGTTAATTTGGAGGGAAGGCAGCGAGCGGTCTGTGTGGGAGACCCTGGAGCTCGCTCCTGGGTGGATGTGGGCTGCTGCGGGCAGCTCTCCCCATTGCCCCAGCCCTTGGCTCAGTGTTGGACCTTGCTGGAGGTTAAGAACAACTGGGGAAAGGAATCAGCTGCACCCAGGTAGTGTGGCCTCACAGTCTGCTTGCTTGTTTGCTTGCAAAAGTGAGCTGGAGAAATTGGGGCTGAGCAGCCCCCCTCTGCTCACTGGCTCAGCTTTGCAACCTTATTGCACCTGGGGCAATACCAAGGTGGGCAACTGCAGCCACACAGCTCTCATTCCAAAACCTTTCTAGCATCTTCCTTTCCTTTCTCTTTCCCTTCCCTTTCTCTTTCCTTTCCCTTCTCACAGTGGTCTGGAGGAAGGAAAGCACAATGTATAGCTAGATATGGTGGTGAAAGGCTATTTTAAAGTAACTCTTAGGAATGTGCTGCACATTTATCTTTCTTAAAGCCCTATGGGCTGAGAGTCAAATCAGATGCACTTCACAGATAGATAGGTTAAACTGGGTTTTCCCATAGCATCTGGCAGGTGTAACACCCTTGGGAAACTCCTGCATAGATTTGCTCCTCCAGAGTAATCAAACACACCAAATTCTTTCCAGCAAAACCTTCGCAGTGCTCCCTGCTATCAGCACGTTTCCTGTTTACACATTTTTACTGAGTGCACAAACCGGTGGTCAGCGTGGTCAGCTGCTTGTCGTTCCTTAACCAGATAAAACTGTAACTCACTGAGTTTCAGTGGAACAGTGGGATGCAGGGCTTTGACCTGGATTTAGGCCTGTGCAGCCACTCTCCTTCCCAGTGATCCAGATCGCCTCCAGGGCAGCCTATTTGTCCAGTAAGACTATATGGTTTGTTTTTCACAAGACAGACGGGCACACCACCAGCTTCATGCCTTCTGCTCCGATTCCACTATTAGTGCATTTTACTGCTATTCATGGCCTTGGCCACCCGCCCACAAAGTTACATGGTTTGAACAGAAGCTTTGCAGCTGTCAAAAATGCAAATACTTAATGGGACATTACATGGTAGCGGTACCTAATTTACCTACTTCTGCTGCTATACTGAAACAATATTTATTGCTTATGTAAACAACAGAGACACTGAAGTCTATCATGTAACACTCTCGTTTGCTTTTTTGTTTTAGCTGTGGATTTCTGTTGCTGCTCCTTCATATCCTGAGAGCTGGTAAGTTCAGAACACTTCAGTTAAAAATGAAGCTGCCCTCCTTTGTGTTTGGCTAAATACGCAGAGTATTTGTACTATGTATAAACCTCTGTGTATTTTCAGCAAGACGCTTAAGAATTCCTCAGTGTGACATGCATCAGGGAAACAAAAAATTGGTTTCTCTCAGTTTCAGTACAGAGAACAGCGAAGGACCTTATGGATGCTCTTGCTTAGATTGCTCTGCTTGCTTTACAGGCACCCCTGCATATTTGTCTCTGCCAACAAAAGGCCTTAGAAGCAGGGTAATAAGGGCTGTTGATAAGCAGGTCTGACATGCCTGGATAAAGTCCGTATTCATATTATGACTAGAATTATACATCACTGTGCCAAGTACCAAATATTAGTAAGTCTTTTATTACAGTTCCAAAAATACCTTTCAAAACAAAGGTAAGGTTAAAGGACATCACTTGGTGATACTTATATGTTTTCAGAATTCTTTCTCCTGTGTTCTTGCTTAATTACTGAGAAGGACCTCAACAAAGTTATCAAGGAAAGTCCCCGGCCCCAAAATCAGGACAAACTGTACCAGGTTCAGTTTCAATAGATGTCAGCTGGCCTGTTCTTAAATAATGCCAGTGATGGAAGTGCCCCCATCTTCCCAGGCAATGCTTTCCAGAGCGTTGCTTTTCCCGCTGCTGCGAGGGGTTTCCCAAAGTCTGAGCTGCAGCATCCTTGTTGCAGTTCAAGCCTGTTACTTTTTGTTTCACCCAGCAAAGGATAAGGGCCTGGAAAACATACTGCCTTCCTCCCTGCAAGTACTGCGGTCGCTTCATAGAATTTAGGTTGGAAAAGACCTTTAAGATCATCGAGTCCAGCTGTTAACCCAACACTGCCAAGTCCAGCACTAAACCATGTCCCTAAGTGCCACATCGACACATCTTTTAAATCCCTCCAGGGATGGTGACTCCCTGGGCAGCCCATTCCAATGCCCGACAACCCTTCCAGTGAAGGAATTTTTCCTAATATCCAATCTAAGGCTCCCCTGGCGCAACTTGAGGCCGTTTCCTCCCATCCTATCATTTGTTACCTGGGAAAAGAGACCAACACCCACCTCATTTTTTAAGTCAGGGAGCCCAGCTCAGACATGTAGATGGTCCAGTGCACCAACAAAAGGACGTACCCCCTTTACCTAAAACATTGCTGCCTCCCACCTCATCGTGCTCTGGGTCCACATTTCCAAACCTCCATCCTGTCATTTTTCCCTAATTCACCCACCTGTATAATCCCTTTCCCTAGTGTAATCTCTCCCATCCAACCCCATGCCTGCCCCCCTTTACCCCCAGTCCAACGTTTACAACGTGCACACAGCTTTGGTCTCAGCAACCAGTTGCACCAGAGAGCTTTTGGCTTCTGGGGTGGAGGAGAGGTGACATGTCCCTCTCAGCAGGGAGGCTGTGGTCAGAGCCACCCTGACCCTTTTGGACTCGCTGACCTCCGCTTTCTGCATCACTCGTCAGCCAGCTCACGCCTTCACCTTGGTCACCAGGAGGAGACACTGCCTTTCTCATGCCTGGAGACCAGGAAAAGTGCCCTGAAAGCCAGATTCTGTGCTGGCCTACCTCAGGTGGCCATGAGAGGTTGTAAAAGTCTAACGAATGTGTCACTGGAGGTATCTGGGCATGCTGGTCTGCCAGGTATATTTGTTGAGAGGGTGACACCAATGGTAGCAATAAAAGCAAAAAATTGCTATGACATGCCTGCTTTAAGAAACACTGTTTTTAGTCCCCTTTTTAATTTCAGGGATCTCAAAATAACAGTAGCGCTCTTTTTCTTATTCATGTTTCCACTTCTTGTGATCTACCTGGTGTTATTTGGCATGTCTCTTAATTTCAAAAGTGATTATTAAAGCATTAGGACTTGAATATGTGTCTGCAGTCAGTCCCAGTCAGGGGCCAAAGTGAAACATGCAAGTATCCACACTTACGCTGGTTGGTCCTCAGAGAAAGAAAAAAGCAAAAGGCTTTATATTGTAAAAGGTCCCTTTGGAAAACGTACAGACAGACAGAGAGAGAACTAGCCACTGGTAAGTCAGGAGGTAGGAATGACTGTGAAGTGAGCACACGCACCTGCCTGTTACAAATATTAATACTGGAGTCCACAAGCGGTAGAATATCCTTGAAAAGAATGACATTTTTTCCACATAACCTGCCATTTTTCTCTCTCTTTCTTTTAATCGTCTAGTTATTGCACTGGAGGAGAAGATCATCTTCAGTAAACTTGGAGACAACGCTACACTGAGTTGTATTTATCAAGGAAAAAAATTGCCCTTAAAAAGTCTACGGGTATATTGGCAAATAGCTGATGATCAAGAAGAGTGTTCAGTTGTACATGCACTGATCTCCGGTCAAGACAATGAAAGTGAACAGTGTGTTCACTTTAAAAACAGAACTCAATTATTCTGGGATAAATTGGAAAATGGCGATTTTTCTCTGCTACTACTAAATGTCAGCCAGAGTGATGTACGTACGTACAAATGTGTAGTACTGCAGAAAACTGAATATACAAAAGTGATTCACCAGGCAGAAGTGGTTCTCAGTTTAGCAGGTAAGAACTTTTATCACTTGCACATATTTGCCCAAATTCTCATTCCAGCTTTTCAAATTTGTGCCATTGCAATATTATATTTAAGCATACCCTTAACTTTGAAACATACTTCAGCCCTTCACTGAAATGAAGTCTGCTTAATTTAAATGTTACAGACAGGGAGTTTGAAACTGGGAGAATACTCCTAACAGCTGTTTATCCAGTGTGGGTTTTTTTTCATCTTGGTTTTCATTAATATAAGGGCTCTTGCACACAATTGGGTGACAGCAGCTTAAGAAGTTGCTTTCTTCCTTTGGGTTTGGCTTCAGCTTTCTGCCCTTCCAGTAATTCTCTCAGCTCTCTGGCTGACATACCAAACCTGCAGGTGTTTCCCTTTCAAGTCATGAGGGTCGTGTGAAACCCAGAACTTCTGCTTTAGAACCCATGGCAAAATTTTGTCTTTTCAATACATTTCAACATGTGAATGACTATTTCTTTTTCTCTTGCTCTTCAGCTAGTTATAGCCAACCAATACTTAGTGGACCGATAAGAAACAGTAACAGCACTGGAGAGGAGGTGACTTTCAGCTGCAGGTCTGGCAATGGATACCCAGAGCCCAACGTGTATTGGATAAACAAAACGGACAACAGCCACCTACTTCCATCAGAGCTAACGATCACTCCCCACACCGATGGCACTTACAGCATTTTTAGCACACTGAAGGTTAAAGCCACATCTAACATGCAAATAGAGTGCTCCATAGAAAATAGAATACTGCAGGAAAATCTATCAGCCAACTGTAAGTCCCTTCATACTACTCTGTGTTTTCTCGATAGCAGGAATATCAACTAGTGTGTCTCTGTCTGTAGATATGCATTAGCAAGGGGCATGCGTTAATTCAGTAGTTCAAAAAAGTGCTGAGAAGAGCTCAGGTTTTGTTTCAAGCTAGTTATGCTTGGGCATAGATTTTATGTTTCCTTCTTCCACATCGAAGTGAACACCCCATCAAGCGTGTTATGACAACGGCACTGAAAAGCTCTTGCATCCGAGGCAGTCACTGAGCTTCACCCTTTGGTTCCTCAGGAACATGACGACTTGGGGAGTCAGGTTATTTTTAAGGGGGCACCATACAGCAGATTCACAATTCCTGAACCCCTACCCGACTGCTGCGCAGCACTCACATTTGCTTTTTGCTCTGCCTAGTTTCAAAGTTCTGGTTTCTGTCTCCAAAACTCAATTTAATACAGTGCACTATTTAAAGTAGACCTGTAGCAAACGGGTAACATTAGCCCAATACAACAATACACACCTAATAGCACAAGTATAATATGCTATTTATTGCTGATGTGAGTGATCAATAGTAGAAACAAGTATTTAGCTGCTCAACTCTTCACAAAAACAGAAAGCTATTTAAAAATAAAGCTATAAAAAAAAGTTATAGCTATGGTACTAATAGTGGATTTCATGATTTCCAAACGGCTACATAGAAAAGCTATCTGGAATGGGAGAGCTTCTCTGGAGGTGGCTGTTCAGTCTTATTGCTGTTCCTGTTCCTGCCTCCCACCACGTTTCTCTCACAGCTTTCTGCAGCCTGGTACAAGGAGGTTTGATTGTTTGCATAACTGTAGCTGGATACCCACAGCTAGTTTACCTGAACACACCAAGGAATCACATACTCTGGACTTAACAACACTGATCCCACAGCCATAGCCAAACGATATAAACTATTGCCAGGAATAAAAATTGTGTTCACGAGCAATAGTTGCACAGTAGAGTGTTTATATGATAGCATACCCTTAATTCCCAAATTAAAGGAAAACTAAGTAACATTGTCATTAGTTTCCTAATGGCATTCTGTCATATTGTATTCTGGCGGAAAAGACCTCCATCTTACTACTTTTTGTTGGTTTCTAAAAGCACTACCACACTTGAAATAGTAAGAGATGTGATTTGAAAACTTCAGTTTGCAGCAGTTGGTGGAAATTCATCACTAACTTCAGGGAAACAGGTTTTCACCCACTTTTCTGAATACCATCACATTTACCTTATAGATTCTGTATAGATTTATTTTCAACTGAGTCTTAGTACAATCTCAAACATACAGTCTCCCAAGGCTGGCAGGAGAGAAGAACAAGAGGGAAGAAAGAGTGATGTGTGCAGTATGATGACAGAGAGGAATAAACTAGCATTGTGTTGTTAGACAGTATAAGCTAGAGATGTCCCTTGCTCAGAAGTAATACCACCAGAATCACAGCAATATGAATAGCACAAATATCTAGTCCTTCAGAATTTTTGTGTGTGTGTGTAAAATGTGTTCAAATATTTGCCTGGTATGAAATGTGAAACTTTACATATGATTACATCCTTTTTCTATTTCATTCTAGACACACAGGAGAAGCAAAGCAATGGTTCTAGCACAGAAAGTCACAAAAACCTGGAAAAAAATGGACGAGGTGCTCAAGCAGCTGGCGTCATTTCCATTGTCATTCTGATGGGTCTTCTAGCTGGTTTAACCTGCTGGCTGTGGAGACGGAGATCCTCTAAACTAGCATCCTACACAGGTAATGAGGCCATTCATTTGCATGACCAATTCTGAAGAATTCTTTTTCGTTTGCCAAAATATTTAATGTCATTCAGCATGTTGCTGGAAGGTACGAGTAAGCTGCCTGCCAAAACAGCAGGAAATCATGCTGTTATGAAAAACCTGGGATGCCCTGGGGAAGACATGTAGTGCCCCAGGACATGTTATTCTTTATGGTTTTCTGCTGTTGTGTCTGAGCCTCACAGGAGTTAACTGCTGGATGTGAGAGTAACTCAGACTTTGTGCCTGTTCAGGCCATAGTTTCTCAGCTGCGATCTCTGCAGGCTGTTTCTGGACAGATGGAGGGGATGCTCCTCCATGGAGCAGGACTAGGGTCAGTAGCTCACTCTACTTAGCACAATTCAAAGCAGAAATCAGACGATAAATCAATCCTGAGAGCCTTAGAGTCACTGGCTGGACAATTAAGGGCTGAAGATCCTACTGGGATCAAGCAGCTTTCTACAGGTTTGAAATAAAGCATGTCTCGCTGTCACTCCACGTTATACATGTGTACCCTGGTACTGCTGCATCTGCCCACGTGCGGGACTCTTCAATGCTTGGCATTACAGAACAAAAAGTAGCTCAAAAAGATGTCTTGCGAACCAGACTGAGTCTGCTGATCTATCTGAGTACTTACGGTAAGCCACTTTGCAGGTATACAAGAGCTAACATCTAAGAAAAGGGAGCAGAGGCAAACGCACTTTTCATGGACAAGGACAAACCACATTTGCAATCCGTGCCCTCCTCCTCATGGCTAGCAAGTCCAGGTGCTTCAGAAAAGAGCAGGAGAAAGCAGGGTAGTGATCTTGCCCAGCACCTGCACCAGCTGTGCTAGGAGCCACATCCTTCCTTCAGAAACAACCCAAGAGTGGTGCAAGACTCTGTCCCAAAACATGGAGCAGGGCTGTTGCTTCAAGTCCAAAACCTATCCTTGCTGAAACGGTGATCTAGGTTGTAAGCAAATGGCGTATGGACTGCATTTATCTGTCCAAAGAGCATTTAGCACATTGAACCCTCAACTTTGGTGGATGTTGCTTAATATTAATCCTATTTGGCTAAAGGCTATAGTTATCTGTCCTACATGCTTAAAACAGTGCATTTGTTTTAACAGATGTCCCACCAAATGAAGACAAAGGAGAACTCGACTGTAAGTATTAAAAATATATTGCTGTATTTGTCTCAAGTGTGACTTAACTTCATAGCTTCAGTACTCAAGTTCAGCATAAAGCCTTTAGATTAGACTTGCTAGATGTTACAAACTCAAGCAGGTAAAGCGGTAGCCCTACTTCTGTCAGCCCTTTCCTTGAGCCCTGTAAGCATTGCCAAAGGCAGCCCGAGAGTCTTGGTTCCCAGAAGTTCCTCCAACAGTTCAGGCCAAAGGACATGACAAATCAACAGGGGACACAGAGCGTACAAGCTGAAGCCACCCTCCCCTCCTGTTGCCATCAAGACAGAGCCAAACTTGGAAAATCTATTTTAAATGCTGATTTTCAAGTCTGGACAACACTGGCCATTTATCACTTCATATCATGTCAGCACCTATCACCAAATGGTTGTTCCCTGCCTTTTCAGGCACTACCTCCTAGAAGGTCTTTAGCTGGGATGCAGGAACATCATTTGCTTCATGTCTAGGAACCTGAGTCTGTATACACCCAATTTAAAAAAAAAAAATAAGCGCTCTTTTTTGCTAGAAAAAAAATATGCAGTTCAGACCTCCAACATGTTATTTTTTTATAAGCAAGAATGCAATATTGCAGGCCAGCTGGCTTACAAATTCATTTATCATTTATGGTGGGGGAAAAATAAAAACAGGGCAAAAAAATCCAAGACGCATTTGGAAGGTCAAACTCAGCACATGGGACTTGTGAGAGTACAGCGAGGGTGAAATATCTGCCTATTTTATATCTTATTTGATAGTTTCTACTGAAACAAATGACTGTTGCCTGGGTGTCTCTCTCTGCAGAACAGGCAGAAAATACTGTGGTTTCACCAAAATTGTAATAATTAAAGCATAGTTTGCCGTAGCAGATGCTGTGAATGTACCCAAGTCATAATATCCAGCAGAAGCAAAATAACACTTAAATGAAAAAAATTTTATGGAACTTCTTTGGTGGTCATGCAAACTGGGTTAATGGTTAGTTATTTTCCAGACCCATCACGCAACCCCAGCCTGATACACAGCATTTGTGTTTGCTAAACACGACACTGTTTCCTGTAGAGCATAACGTAGAAAGGAGAATGGATTTTCTCCTTAAGATAAAGAAACGTTTTCTCCTTCCGTTGCTGTGAGCTGCATTGACAAAACACAAGCAGTTTGTTTAAGGTCAACTTTTTCTTCTCTGGACTTACTTATACCAGGTCCTATTTGATTAGATTGCTGGACTTAGCTCATAAGTAGAAAAACCTCTGTGATATAAACAGGAATAAATATTTATCTTATATTGAAGGCTGCTGTAGCATGATTTGTTCATTAACAACAAAACAAAGTCACTTGCCTTCCAGACTCTATCTTTGCCTTGGGATGTTTCTGCACCATTTGTGGAAGAGGAGGTGGGACAGCGGCTTTGGTGGTTCACTGCTGTCAGAAAGTGTCCCACCTCCGAGGGCTGTTCTCTGCCAACACAGCCATGTAAGGCACGGAAGGCAGTACCTTTTGGGCACCCCAATTTGAGGGCAACTTGGACCAACAGCGGAGAAATGAGAATGATCTAGGGAATGTGATCTCTGATGACAGATTGGTTATGCTTGTTTAGGCTAGAGAAGGCAAGGCTGATTAAGGACACAATAACAACCCTCTTCAGAGAGTCCTTAAAGAGGATGGGACAAGACACTTATTGTCCCAACCCAGCAGACACAACACTTAAGGCACAACAAACTTAAACAAACATAATTTAAGCTAGATGTTAGGAAAAAATGCCTTTCTAAGGGTAATGGTAGTTGAGCACTGAGGCAGAGAGTTTGTGCAGGCTGTCAAGCCTCCATCAGTCCAGGTTTGTTGCTGTTTGTTTTTCCTTAACAAAAGAGGAAACTAGTAGCTGTCAGAAATTATTTGGAAATTGCTGGTACTACCTTGGGGCAAAACATAGGCTCTTGGAGAAATTCTAGCCTAATTCAATCATCATTTGATATTTTCAAGCAAGTTGTGTGTGGTAGGTGGGGAGTAAGGCACTGCAGAGGTGCACCCACAGAGACACTCTGCCACGGCATTTTGCTTTTCAGTACTAATGTAAATACATTTCTGCTTCCAGCAGTTTGCACTTTATGAAGAAGGTCAGATCCCGAATACTGCAAACCAAAGACAGCCTACTGAGACTAGCTTTGCTGTTACAAAGAAAAAAAGTTTTGGAAACTGTGAGGAAGGCAGGTTGCAAAGGAGAGTACCTTCATCCTGGTGGGGTTAGTCTCTCCAGACACTCATTACAGTCAGTGGGGCAGGATGCTCCAGTGAGGAGAAAGTCAGAGCTGGAGCAATTCTGAACTGCTCTCTGGAGGGATCCCTTCGCTGCCTGTAGAGGAGCCTTGGGAAGCTGGTTTCCCTTGACCACAGACAGGCTTTGTGCATCTCGTTCTCTGAAATAGTTTAAAACGAACCAAAGGTGACACTGACATCCCTTCACAAGGGAGGGGGGTGTTAGCAGGAGAGCACTTTTTGCATTTGCCCAAAGAGAGGCACTTTCAGTCTGTGGCACAAGGGCAGAGGGTCCCCGGTGTCTCAGGTACCCAGGCAAAGCTTCACCCTGGCTGATTCTCTCTCAACAGTATAAATACATCTTTTCCATAGCTTTGCAGCTTGTTCCACTGGCTATGTAAGAAAAACAACTCTAGGACATGATTATTTCTGGGGGATTTTTTTCTATTTTTTTTTCTAAAAAGAGATTTTTCTTTTGCAGCACCTGTCTAAATGGAAAGTCTGCCAGCAATTTGGGCAGCTGGAGATGCATCAGGAGAAGCATCACCCCCTATCTCAGAGGCAGCATTGCTTGTAATACAAGTGACAGATTTCTGCAGAGCGTGCCAAGAGAGATGGTGAAAAAACCTTCTCCAACACAAGAGACAGCAAAATCCACTGGATTTCTATTCCAGCCACTGGCTGTGTCCACACAACAGTTGTGTCACCACACCAACTAACCACTTTGGACAGTCCTCTGTGACAGTCTGTCAGCATGTTGAGCTCCTGCACTGAGGAAAGCAGTAAGCCGGGGACTTAGCCACTCTGTGCCAGACCAGTGAAAGCTGGCAAGTGCCCCATCTCTCGTCATCACCTTTGAGGACTGTCTTAGTAGCAGAAGCAACTGCATTTCAGGAGCATGGGAGGTTCTTGCTGTGTCTCTTTACCCTGATGATGACTACTGAATGTGAAGAAAGGCAGCTAAAAAAGAAAAAAAAAAAAAAAGAAACCTGAAGGACTCGCTGCAAAGTGAGATTTGTGACCTTTTCCACCTTTCTCTCTCTACAGTACCTCCTTTCATTGTCTGGTTTCACCAGCTGCATATTACTGTGTACAGAACTAGGTAGAACATTTTGACCCAGTCGTCCAAAAATGGGAGTTGCTCTAACAGGGTTAAGCACCAAATATGTTAACATAAGGAAATGTGCATTCTTTAGATGTACTTGATATCAACATTTTGTTTTTTACCGAATATTCCACTGAAAAGGGGAGTTCCACTTTTGACAGAAGCTGGTGCATACTGTGTGAAAAAACAGGCTGTGGAAATCTGACTGATTAAAAATAGCACTCTCTGCTATGTTAAGGTCAGGTTACCTGGACTTACCCTTTTCAGGATGGAACAAAAGCTGTGGTCAAGCTCTGCTCAATTCAGCTGGTCTTTATTTAAGCACTCCGTGGCTTCCAGGGAGGATTTTAAACTGAATTTTTTAAACTGAACCTCTCTATGTCCCATCCCATCCCTCCACCCAAACAAAACAAAACAAAACAAAACAAAACCCCAAAAAACAACAAACCAGAGTGCAGACTATATCACTGTGTTGTCCACGAATGTCCAGAAAGCCAAGAACTGCAGTTTCCTTGTGCCTTGCTGTTTCAGCCCCAAGTCAGCCGAGAGAAACTGGTTGAAAATAGCAAAGCAGTAAACTTTGATGGTATGAGGTGTTGAAGGAGGAGGAATCTATACTAGGTCTCTTGCCTAGATGGGGTAGTTTCCCCATCTCGTCACAGGGGGATGGAGATGATGATCTTAAACTGAGCCCTGGAAACACTTGGCTTTGCCTGCACCAGTTGCTAGATTAAAATTGGATCATTTTTGTGAATAAGTCACAGCCTTGTTTGTCCTAGCTCTGTGTGTGGGAGGCACTCCAGTGTCAACTGTGAGACAGGACTTTGCTTTTTCATATCAAGATCAGCTTTCAAATCCCAGCTAAGTGAAAATAAATTTTGTTGTCCTCTTCTCCCATTGTGTGGAATCCAGAACCATTTGGCAACAGTAGTTAGCTTTTGTTGAAGCAGTACCTTCAAGGAGGCTCCGACTTGGGTAGCTGTGCACCACCACTGTGCCAGGATCTTGTGGGAGGGCGGCACAGGCTCACCCTCCACAGCATTTAAGAGAGGGGCAGTTTAGCTCTCACTTGGTGTGATCTAGGTTTACTCACCAATTTGAATAGGATAGGAAAATTGTTTTAAAAAAAAAAAGTCAAGCTGCAACTAACTAATTAAGCTCCTGTCTCCTGTTTAGATTGTAAGTAACTGGGTACAACTGTGGTTTTTTAAAGACATTTTATCTAATGTCAAAAAAAGTATATTGCATATTTGCTAGTGTTCAATGTCTGTGAAAAATACTGTTTTATTTATTAATTTCACTTTTGTCCTCTGCTGCCTTCCAATCTACAACTGTAACATACCTGTCAGGTAGGGCGTTTAGCTCACAATATTTGTCAGATAAGATTACTGAGGTGCCATGAGTTACTTTAACTGTCAGCCTTTCCTTGTCTTCTCTCATGTCCATTAATCTAGGCGTTAGATATTTTCTAAGTCCACATCTAGTCTTCAGTGAACCCTAAAAGGGAATTGATTGAAAAAAGCATGCAAGCTTGCAGACACCTACAAATGTGAACAACGTCTGTGCAGATGTGAAGGGTAACCATTTCCTAGTGGTTCTGTAAGAAGACCTGCAGACGTTTCCTCTCTGTCACATGAAGTTGTT